GTCTGGAACAGATTACCCATCCATGCAGCTGAAGACATCATGCATTCCTGGTGTCTTTTGTGAAAATGGGGAATGGGATCCTTGGATCAATTAGCTACTAAAACCAAACAAGTCAGATGGGCAGACTGTCCAGCTCTTGTTCTCAGACTTTATTATGCTCTATATTACTGCCTATTCCTACTTCATTTATTTACATTTCAGTTTCATTTGCAGTATTTAACAATGATAATGGTGATTTAAAGTAGTAGCTGATTTAAAGTCAGTGTAACAAGCCACCTTATGTTCAGGTACAGCTGCTAAGGTCTCCGTTTGTGCAAAGCTTTTGACCATCTTGGCCCGAATATGGTAGTGTGGCAGACTCAATTCACCTTGCCTCTGTCCTGACATCAAATCCCAATGTGCATATGGTGTCTTAGGAATTACATCAAAAGTATCTTCTCAATAGCCACAACAATTATGTTTTGAAGGTGAGTCTGCTATAGTATCAATCATATTTGTAATAGTCGGGTAGAATGTTAAATTGGGTGAAAAGATCATTTGTGCTCAAACCCTCTGTACCCTATACATTTCTGCAAACGTGTTAATAGGTTTTGGTTTTTAAGATGCTCTCAGCTTTGTGTTTTTCACTTACAGTACATCAAAGGGTCATTCAAACAAGCCTTTAGTTTTTTTTTCTCCTTCGGGTGCTTTTAAAGGCTATTCACACTTCAACGCAACTGTCGTAATCTAAGTAAAGGTGATACTGTACAAAGGGAAAATGTCACTAGTGCTGAAAGTTGCCAAAAAGAGCATTATAGCCTGGAAAAGGTTGGGTTAAAGTGTGGATCAGATTTATAGCCTAGAGTGTATGATACGAAGTGTTAAGAACTAGTTTTCTTTTCTTTTGGTGGCTTGTGCAAGCGGTGGAGACCTTTGACCTCCACAATGTTTTGATAGATTACTATCACCTGAGGAAAGTATTGACACCTTTAATCTGAAGATGTGTTATTCACATTGGTTATACATGTTTCTCTGTGACATCTTTTCTGATTTTTCATCCTAGTGATTAAAAATAAAGATTCTGGGCCAATGAACTGATCTGACACAAGCCTTGTCAGAATTTACTGGGTATGCCCATTATAGAGGATATCTCTATATAAAGAAAAACACTGTGGTCAACTCCTCCATATAGACAATATATGATATCCCTTGTGTGCAGTGGATTATGTTCAGAGGATGCTCTTTGGGAGTGCCCAGGTATGTGCAAAGTTACGGCTTCATTTTCTTTGTCTGAGGATGTTCCTTACTCTCGGCTAATGCTCTCACTGAACTCCAGTGGGGCCTCTTGCAGTGGTAGAAAGGGAACTGGTGTTCTGCTCTGACTGTGGCTAACAGGTTTTTGGTGCTGTGTTGGGAATCTCTGTATCTTGTTCACTGGTGTCACATGGAAGTTTCAAGGAAGCCATTAAAAAAGTTAAAAAAACTTTTGCAGTTAAAAAAACAGTGACAGAACTAAAATGTTTTATGATGAAAAACCTGATAACACAGATCCTTCTCTTAAAAAGGATGTCTATCCTTACTGTTTTCTGTACCAGAACTCTTGTCTACCAGGTTAAGATTTCCTGATATTACAGTATGTGCCACATATCTAAAGGGACAGCAGGCCTATGATATACAGTAGCTGAAATGACAACTGTTTTGTTAATCAAGAAGAGGAAAGAAACAAAAGCTAAGCAAATTGAGCACCCTAACCCTAATAATAACTTTTAAAAATTAAAATGTGTTTCATACAAAATGTTAATTTATAGAAATCAATGTAATTCTGCACTAGTGAAAGTAGAAAATGCTTTACAGCCTCTGTTCAGCTGAGATCAGTATGGAAAAGAGTATAAAATCATTGCAAACATCTATTCAAGAGGATCTCAACTGAAACTTTTACGTTGCTGGAAGTAGTCAGGTTAATGTTTTACAGTGATTAATGTACAAAATATACCCACTTTTTCGCTTGTGTAGTCTTAATTCTTAATCATGTTAAATGTTTAAATGTGAATACATGAAAATAAAGATTTTCAGTTGAGGATATAGACCCACGATACAGACTACAGACCCAATCATTTCTGTACTGGACTACAGACAGCCTCAGAGAGAGGGGTTGGGTTTCTGATGCTCTGTTTAATACAGGCCACCCAGGAAGTGTTAGAACTGAGTTCATGTAACAGGTGCAGCTCCGCTGTATCCGTGCCTGGAGTGGAGTGTGCACACCGTCCCTCTGTAGACAGCAGACAACTCCACCATCGCACAGGCTGAGCCCCCTGTCTCTGCTGCTGCTGAGCTCTGCTCTGTTTTGGCATTTTGGATACACCATGTCACATAACTGCTGATTTCATTCAGACCTTGCACAAAGAATTATCTTTACAAAGTTAAATAATCTTTAAGCCTTTTTGTTTTCAACCCTATTTTCTTCGTTACATTATTTATAGAATCTCTTCTTACACGCAAATATTAATCTTCAATGTGTAAAACACAGCTTTTTTGCTGAGCACAGAAATTAAACAAATCTGTGGCTTTATTTAGATAATCGCTATAATAAAAATTGATAGGAGATCATAACTATGACCACTGCACAGGAAAAATGTGATAGCTCAAGGCAGTTATACTGATGGAATGTCTGCACCTCTCCTAACTCTCAACGAAGAAGTACATTAAACATTAGACATTAAACAAACCTCAGGGTACAGTTTATATCAACGAAGCTGAAACCAGACTGCTACTCCCACAGAAGACAAACTGCAATGCTTTTGTGACACCAGTTCCTTTCCTTTTTGTCAATGTACTTCTGTGCTCAATGGCAAGGCAAGCTCCTACAGAAACAATCTCCTTTGGGACATTGTTTCTTTCTGAAAATCCTCATGTAAATACAGGACATGAAATGCAGTTAGAAAGACCAAGGGTATATATCTGTGGCCTTAATTTACAAATTTTTATCGCTTTCTTTCCTTTTGAAAACTCAGTTTAATTTTCAGTGAGAAAAGGCAAATATTGCTGGGATTGGCACCGACCGAGAACTTAAAGGAAGATAAACAGCAAGACCAATGCATTGCTAAAGAGCAGGAGTTTCATAGAGATTGTGCTTTAAGAATGTTCTTGTCAGAACACTCCGGACTGTAGGGTCAGTGGCTTCAGACCCTGTCTGACATGCTGCTGTTGTGTTCTTGAGAAAAGCACTTCAGTCACATGGCTAGTTAAAGAATCTCTGCCTAAATTGGGTCTCAAAGTCCTCACTGTAAAGGACAACTTGTTTGTCAATTGACTTGCGTGGTGCAATAAAGGGACAAAATCTGTTTGAATATTAAAAAGAGCATGTTCCTAAATTCTCGCAGTTCTTTTAATTTTGTTTTTGCCTTTAGCCTTTTCAGTTGTGAAGCTCAGTTTTTTCATGATTTCCTCTGTGAGGAAACAGCACATCGTGTTTGACAGGAAGTGATGGGAGATGGCTCAGAGCTTTGGTTAGACAATATTTTCTTTAGAAAATAACAGATATGAGGGACTGGTAATGATTGTTTTATTCTTTTTAAATATTGTAGCACTGGTTTGACTAAAAATTCTGTTTAAATTTAGTTATGTCAAGAAATGCTTGATCATCACTAAATTACAAAACTCAGTTGATCATATGGTTGCTCAACACATTTTAGCTCTTACTGTCAATTGTCAATAAGACATTTATGTGCTAGAGTGGAGTATCTTACAGTAGTACTGAAGAGGTAAACCCCAGACACACACGTATTTGTACCAATGTGTTACTAATGTGTCACCACTATGTCATACTCTGGCCATGAATGACTTTTGTAAATCTTACAGTGAAAATGTGTGGTATCACAGAGTGTGAAATGTTTGTAGTGTCCAGTAACTCTTGCAAAACAAGTCTTCTTTAATAGCTATTTTTAAAGCCTCTTGTTTCAGCCTTGAGATGCTCATTGACCTTAACAGATTCATGGTAACTTGGAGATGCACCTTTCTATAATGAACGGTGGCTATAACATAGATATCTTTAGAAAGTGATCTTAGATAATTACTCCTATAGACACAGCAAGAGTATGGGCATTCCTCCTGTCAATAAATTGCTTCTAGCAATTTAAGTAATTACATCATAGCTTTTATTTGCCAATGTAATGGAATACAGAAAAAAGTAATGGGCTAACACAGATCTTGCATCCAGATCTACAGTATCTTTGAGTGGATTGTTGCTCTTCAGTTGAACATGATTACCTGAGAACCTTCAAGAAACATCTAGGTATTTGAATGTATAATCTACTGACAACTACATGAGCAAGATGAATAAAGTAGCCTCCTCTCATCCTATCTTTCTTACGTTCTTGGGTTCTGTTCTCATTGTGATTTGCTACTATTAAATCGTTTTTGTGTGCTTCAGGTAAGCTTGAGATGAGGAGGGAGTTATTTTAAGCGACGCAAAATGTGTTTAAACTCAAAAGCTTATTCTCAAATAGCATTACTTATTGATGCAGGTCTCTTGACATTGTACCCCCTCCAACATACAGCAGTAAAAAGAAAAACAATGAAAAAACACTTTTACTGTACATCACAGAATGTTTAATTTTTTAAAAAATATCACCAGCACTGTTGACTTTGACCTTTGTGCTAAGGGTTACACACAATTTATCTATTATCAAAAGGAAAATTACCAAAGAAATCCAGTGATGCCATCACAATAAAAATATATATTACACTATTTACATAACTACTGTAAATTAAACTTTATTTCAGGAAAGGGAAATATTTTTAAACATATCAACCCATTAAATAATTTTATGAAGCAGAAATGTAATTTCCCTTGTACTGTTTACCTTTTTAATGCATTTTTCTGAAATGACAAATGAGGGACTTTCATTGCCTAATTAAAGGTGTTTTTTTTCCATTGTTCTAAGCACTAGGTGAATCAGTCATCAGAACATGAAAATTCAGACACTGTTCAAAGATAAAGATGTCTGCTATAAGCATAAGACTGAAATGAAAAACTGAGGTTTTATTGCTCTGTTATTTATAGCTAGGATGACGAGAACATTATATGATAACCCCCAAGCAATGTGGTATACACATCAGAAGTTTGAATGCTTTGTGAGTTAAGTCATTCTGAAGTGGTGATGAAAATCACGGAAATTAAATTAGAAAAAAATATGTTGTTGGGTCCAGACATTTCATTATATTGCGGACGTCTGGCGAAGCCTTATGTTTGCGTGCAAAGAGTTCTTCAATTATATGAACATCTCAAAAACAGTCTTCAGCTTGGAGAATGTTGTGCTGTGCATCCCATGAAGATGCCCCTCCTGCAACCTCATGAGCTGACACAACTGGGGGGGGGGGGAAACCTGCAAAATTTTTAAACGAGTGACTCTTGCCAACCCCAGCGTACACACTGTTGTTCAGCTGTCCAAACTAGAGGGTCGCGCAGAGGCCGATGGTACTGTCCGTCCCCATCACGGCCACGGCGGGTCCCGGGTTAGTTTTTGGCCTCCAGTTCGTGCCAGTTGACGCTCTGCGCGCTGGCCTTGCCCTGTCGCTTCTTGCCCCGGTGCTGGTGCGGGGGGTTCGGCCGGGACGCCTCCCCGAACTTGTGGCTGGACTCGTTGTGCTGCCGCGCGTAGCGCTTGCAGCGGCAGGAGGTGACCACCGTGATTTTGTACGTTCTCGTGCTGCCGTCGCGGCACTGCAGCTGGATGCGCTGCGTCCGGGTCTTGTCGTTCACGCAGCGCCACTCCTGCGCGTTGCGCCGGCTCCAGTACTTGCGGCCGGAGCCGCCGCCGCCGCCTATCCAGTTGGGCAGCATCTCGGCCGGCAGGCACTCGCCGGCGCACACAAGTTCCTTCACGGGGTTTATACTGGTGCACTGGCCGTCCGAGATGTATTTTGTGGATCGGAGTTCTCTGCACCCAACCTGACTTTGATCTGTGGGGAGCCAGACAAGAGAGGAAAAAGAAATTAGTCTTATCCGGAGAATAATCACTAAATCCCCCCCTCCATCTACAGTGCTTTAACATAAACATTCCTTCACAACACGAACTGTAATTCAATTTATCGTTCAGTTAATGTTTTTTTTGTTTTGCACAGCGTTTTTAGACAGCAGACTCCTGCAGCAGAGTCCCCATGTTTTTGCAGTGTATTTTTGTCACCAGCGGTGCTAAATACGGGTATAACCCTCTTGGTTCTGGCCGAGAAAACTGATGATCACTCAGGCTTTTCTTTCCTCAGGTGGACCCCCAGACAAGTTGAAAACATCAACAAAAAAGTTTTGCTTCAGGGGGAATCTCTTCGCGCTGTAATCCAACCCTCCACTGCTTCACAATGCAGGAGATACACCTCTGAGATCATAAAAGTCCCGTTTCAGTGACAGTTCTTGATTAATGAAAGCACGGCGTTTCTCCTCAAGGTAATCTGCATTCAAAATAAACAGCACTATAATCTGAGATTTCCTGTCCAAGTAAGTGTTCTTTTATTCAATAGGACAGACACACCCACTGCAGCCGAATTCACTTTTACCTTTTCCTCATGCCTGGTTGTCTGCCAAATGGATATGTAACATGAATGGCTTTGCTAAAGTTTACTTCATCTGTTTTCTAATGATATCTGATATTATTAACCCCTCATGGGGTCCCATTATACTGTAGGTAATTGGAATGTCAAAAAACTACCTACACAATACAATGTGCAAACTGTACAGTACAGGACAAGCATTCAAAACAGAATGCAGATTGCGGACATTACCAATACAAGTCTTTGCATTTCAGTCCTCCTGACATACAGTATGCCTGGATAGGACACATCAGTTTCCCCAAGTTTAATTTTAATCAGTGGAGAGGTACAGGTACTTGACTTCGAGATGAGTGTCTATAAATTATGGACCTCGTTCATTTTAAAAGTAAGATACAATATATTTAAAATTATTTATGCCCTATAGCAAAGTACAAGTAAGTCAAGTTCCGAACGCACCGAATAAGAGATAACATGTTTATGATCAAATATAAGATATCGCTGTTCTGATGAGTTTCTCCCTGTTCCCCAGAGCACACCTAAGTTTAAATGGAAAAAAAAGATGAAACCGTTTCCAACAACATCTCTAGCTCCCTGTCTCCAACTGGGAAGGCGGTTGTGGTTCGGATAATTGTAGCGGTAACCTGCGAGGACGGTTAATACCCAAATCTGGTTGAAATAATCGTCATCGCCCTTACCGTTTCGATCGGACCCAGTATGTCCCAAGTTTCTGCCTCCATTTCTTGCCTGATTTAACGACACGTTGACGGGCTGATCTTGGACAGGGTGAACCACGTGGGTGTACAGAATCTCTGTAGCATCATTCTTGAAAGTCAGATACCCTTTTACTAGGATGCCTGCTAAAAACAGCAGGCGGTACGCAACCGTATTCAGGAGCATGACTGTTTTGCTGCATAAAAAAAAAAAAACTTCAGACAGAAAAATCCCGTGAGTGGGTTTTTTTTTTTTTAAATAAACGACGACCGGCTTCGAAGCTTGCAGAGCGGTACTGCAATACCTTTTCACAGGAGGTTTATATACCCGCCTCTCGCTGTGGCCTGGCAGCTGTTCAGGTGTAGTGTGGACGGCCTCAGTTATGAACATGGGCGTGGACGCTCGCTAAAATCACACCCCTCCCAGGGAAGGAGCGTCTTCTGGTTTTTAAACAGCGGTTCTTTCGCTGTTGTAGGTAATGAGATTCAACATTGTGTTAGACTCGTTGGTGCGGATTGGAAAGCTGTAGTGCGTGTAAGGCACCAAATAGAACAGAAAGAGCAGTTTTGCCCTCATTCGCTGTAATGTTTTACAGCAAAGTTTATTCGTTCGAGGGAACATGGTCCCTTCATGT